AGAGCATGTGAGCTGTGGGGAGAGGCAGAGTGAGAGGGAGAGAGAAAATCTTAAGCAGACTTCTCGCTGAGTGTAGAGTCTGGGTGGGGGGCTCCATCTCATGACCCTGAGGATCATGACCTGAGGTGAAATCAAGAGTTGGATGGTTAACTCACCGAGCCACCCAGGTGCCCCTCTCTTTTCATTCTTGGTTTTCTTTTCTCCTCCTTTCTCCCTCTTCCTGCATCCTTCCTTTTTCCCCTCTGGGAATAATGTGGAGACAGAAAACTTAGAGGAAAATGGGAGGGAATTAGCGGCTCAATAAATTGGATCCAGCGTCCACCCCACTGCAGGCATGGGTGCTTACAAAGGCCCTTACATGTCCTATTTAAGCATGTGGGTACTGGCACACACATACACAAGTGTAAAATATGTAACAAGATTCTTCAGCTGCTAGCCTACAGCAAAATATAAAAGAACACTGTTGCCAAAGTGACACTGACCTGAAAACAGTAAAAGATTTTGGTGATTTGGGGTTTCTTCTTTAAAGTGACCATGTGGGGATGACTAAATCAGCCACTGCATGCAGGCTGCCATAACAAAATATCACAGGTCGGGTGGCTTAAATAGCAGAAATTTATTTCTCAACATTCTGGAGACCGGGAAATCTAAGATCAAGGGGTCTTCTGATGTGGTTCCTGGTAAGTGCTCTCTTCCTGAGAGCCTTCTCCCTCTGTCCTTACATGGCCTTTCTTCAGTGCCTGAGCAGGGAGAGACTGATCTCTGCCTCTTCTTCTAAGGCCACTAATCCCATTATGAGGACTCCACCCTCATGGCCTCACCTATCCTTATTTACCTCCCAAAGGTTCCATCTCCAAATACCATCACAATGGAGATTAGTTAGGGCTTCAACATATGAGCTTTAGGGAGACACAAACATTCTGATCATTAAGTACTGAACAAACAATAAATATTAGTATTTTTGCTGCTTCTGAAATGAGGACTTATAAACTGAAAGCATTCTGTGGCTGGAAGGTCCATTTTTTTTTCTTCTGTCATTTAGACCTCAGCAATGTGGTCAAATCAACAAAATCATAATTAAGTCAGCATTCATTTTCAGTTGTTATTCTTTTAATGCATATACTTCACACAAAATTTAACCCTTAATAAGTTAATACTGAGGGCTCTAGGGAGCCATTTCCTTTCTCTCTCTCTTTCCCTGTGAGTTTTTCTTTCTTGTCATTTCAGGTGAAACCTGATGATGAAACAGTCACTTCAGTTCACTGACCAGCTAATCCACTGCTGAGGGATGACCCATAATTTCGTTACTGAGAGCATGTTCTAGTACCAAAGCTCCAGAAAAAGATCCTGTTCCAAACCACTAACCTCTGAATTTAAATATCAGTCTGTGTTTTCTTAGTGTTGGGGCTCCAGGACCGAAATGGAATAAACTGGAATAGTGAGCTGGCCATTTTGGGTTATTTAAGTGCCATCTGGGGTGGAACCACCATTTTCCAGTGGATCTGAGTCTTTTGATCATTCTTTAGCCCTAGATGATTCTTAGGTTGCCTTTATTTATTTATTTATTTGAGAGAAAGAACACAGGGGTGGGGATGGGCAGAGGGAGAGGGAGAGAATCCCAAGCAGACTCTGAGCTGAGCACGGAGCCTGACTTGGGGCTTGATCTCACAACCCTGAGATCACGACCTAAGCTGAAACCAAGAGTCAGAAACTTAACTGACTATGCCACCCAGGTGCTCCCAGTTAAATACTTTTTGATGCAGAAATTTTTCCTTATGTCTGATAGTCACAGATAAGGAATAATTTTTAGTATGATTGACTCAAAGCACTATATCCATATGATGCTTCCCTATTAGACCCAGGCTCCTCAAAGTGTGATTCTGGAGCTTGCTAAAATGCAAGTGCTCAGGCCTCATTCTGAGTTACTGAATCAGAACCTCCAGGATGGGGTCCACAAAAGTCTGAAAAACGTGGCTCTAGACCTGGATAGGGAAACTAATATTTTGTTATTATTGCCTTTTATTTTTCTTCCTTGAGTTAGGGTTTTTTTTTTTTTCCTTAAAGTGAAACAAAATAAAGTTTGTCTCATTTGGTTATAAAATCATGAATGTTCACTGTAAAAAAGTTCTGACCAAAATATTTAAATAATAAGTTAAACATTACCGATAATCCCACTACTCAAAGGTAACCATGGATAAATGCTATCCTTTTTTCCCCATCACATATTACAGTGAACAAAGGCCATTCTGTCAGCACAGTTGCCGCTTTCATAGAACCACAGGATATTAATGCCATGAGGGAACCGGGAGATCACGTGGGCCCCATTCCCTCATTTACATCAAGAAAAACCAAGTAATTAGCTCTATGGCACTAGTCCAGCAAGTAACTGGCATAAATGAACCTAATAGTTGTCTCCATCAGGTGTGAATGAGGCATCAGATTATCTAACACAGTGGCACTTTAAGAAAGCTCTGTGTAGTTTTAAATCTCAAAAATGCCTAAATAATGTGTATACCTGATAAGCCTAATGGTTTCCCCTTGGAGAAGAAAACAAACATTGAGAAAAAATCATATGAGACGTACTAATATTACTTCTCCAACTCTGGTGAAATAGGCTACATAATAACCACCACCTGCTAGTCAGTGACCAGGGCAATATACAGTTGACCCTTGAACAATGAGGAAGTTAGCGGCACCGACCCCCTTCACAGTCAAAAATCCATGTATAATTTTGGACTGCACCAAGACTTTATTAATAGCCCACTGTTGACTGGAAGCTTTATGATAACATAAACAGTTGATTAACACATATTTGTATGTCACATGTACTATATGCTGTATTCTGACAATAAAATGAGCTAGAGAAAAGAAAATATTAGGAAAATCATAGGGAAGAAAAAATACCCTTACAGTACTGTACTATATTAAAAATCCACATATAAGTGGACCTGTGCAGTTCAAACCTGTGTTGTTCAAGGGTCAACTGTATATTAATACAGAGACAACTTATTCACTTACCCATTCATTGTTTTAACAGACTGTTAAATATAAAAAATATCTCAGCATCTAATTTGAACTTACTGCTCAAAGGACTAGTGTCTTGGTAAGAAGCAAAATGTACAGTTTGGGTATATCTTTTTTTTTTCTTTAAAGATTTATTAGAGAGAGAGAGAAAGAGAGAGAGAGAGCACGAGTGGGGGGAGGGGGAGAAGAAGAGGGAGAAGCAGACTCCCGTTGAGCAGGGGAGCTCTGATGCAGGGCTGATCATGACCTGAGCCAAAGGCAGATGCTTAACCAACTGAGCCCCCCAGGCCCCCGAGTTGGGGTATATCTTTTAAATGAACTTGTACTTTCCTGAAACATAATCTTATTTCAAGGTGTTCTATCTGAGGCTGGGTTTTTGAGGCTGGGGAAATGGTATGCCTCCTCCTTCAATTTTAACTGCATACATACACTGCATATCATCCAATGAACTTAATGAGAGTATTCCATCCCTGGAGTTGCTCAATATTTGAAGATTACTTTTTAATGAAATATCTTGTTATCATTGTCCAAATAACCGATGACCTTTCAAATGAAAACCATATGTAAATACAGGGACGGGAAATCAGTGTATTTCTTTGTATGGAGAAAGAAAAAGAAAGCATGTATCATGGTGTGAAGAAAAGAACAGGAGACTAGGAAACTGCTGTTAAATGTCAGTTACAACTTCTGGCTGGTGAACCGTAGTTTACCAGTGACTTGTCCATCATATGCACCATCCTGTTTGCTCCGCAGAATGTCCCCGTACTGACGGTGGCACTTCATACTGTTACCCATGGCACCGGTGTGTTGGCTAACGAACGAGAAGTTATCTGCTGGGTGAACGCTTGGTGAGCCAGTAGCCCTCAATGATGTAAAATGTTAATATGAAGATCAGTACATGTGTATTCTAGTAAAACACTTTGCGCTCCTCATAGCAAGGACATCTAATACCCAGGAAGTAGTTTTCGAGGACATAGCTTCCTGGAAACACAAAGCTTAAAAAGCTTAAAAAAAAACCTTTCAGGAATCAGAGACTTTCCAAGTTACCAGCTCCATACCCCCATTTAATTGGTGATTAAAGTAGAGGGTCAAAGAGGTTACATGTCTTATTCAAGGACTGGAACCTGGGACACCTATAATACTGTCTGCCAAATACATCTTGCCTAGAGAGCCTCAGAAAGCACATCTACATCTATCCTTCTTTAATTAGTCCTAAAGTTCCCTTACATTATGTCTTATCTTTAATATGAGCATCCATTTGTTAGATAGTAGTGATAGTCATGATGTTTATTGACAGGAAAGGCAGGGTATTTATTGAAAAATAACATACCCCCCCATGTATTTATTAAGTCCAATTAAATTGAAGCTTGAGAGTGGAGTGAAAATTGTGCGTAGAGGGTAGGGTAGAGCGTGTAAGGGAATGTGGGGTGGTGAAGCCAATGGCAAGTGAGAACATTTCTGGGATGGTGGGTAGAAGAATTTTAATAGAAAATTGTTGGTCATGTGATCTTAAAAAAAAGTTCAATTTTGGAAAGAAAACGATAACCCTTGCCTGTCATCCTTACAATAGAGTCCACGCTTATGATCTAGTATTTTATCTCAGTTCATAATGTATTGTTAGGACAAGGCAAGGAAAAGGGTTTATAGACATGATACTCCACTAGGAAATGTCTAGACGGCTGTTTTTGTTCTTTCCCTCTTCTCCTTTCCAATTGTCCAGGCCTTGAATGTGAGAAAGAAACTTAAGACCCTCAAACAATACGCCAAATAAATGTCTTTTGCATTCTGGAAGGAAAAAAAAAAAGGGTCTCTGGGGCTCAGTAAACGGACTCTAAGTCGGCCTGGAAGAGCACAATTCTTTTTGTTCTCTAGACTGTTCGTGGTGCCCCCAGAATTATTCCGGTGGCCTAGAAAACCAGCTCTGTGACATTCTGGGGGCTTTTATCTCTTATGGTGAATTACTGTATCCAATGCAGATCTCCTCCGGGGCTCACAGAGATCTCAGCAAGCAAGGAATATGGAACTGCTCAAATCAGGAATAGACGGGGACTTTGAAGATAAGGTAAACTGTGTTTTCTTGTTGACAAAATAATCTGAAGCTTTTGTTGTGTGTTTCCATAAAAGACTTCCCAGGCATAAATCAATATGGCAGCACCAACTCTGCGAGAATAAGAAACGATAAGTATAGTTTTCAGCACCCTGTAACCACTCATTACATTTATTTCCCAGTTTTCTTTGTTATTCCTTTCCTGTTCAAATCTGAGCCAGCACATATTTGGCTTCCCAGCTGAAGTAGGAGGTGCTGCCAATCAGCAGGAAATATAATACAGATAAGATTCATATAAACTCTTTTGAACTGGTAAAATAGCTGGATGGGAAATGGATGTTAAATTGTTTACATTTGGCACGAGAAGAAAACGTTCCATTTTTAAATTCAAAGCCTCTGCACCTTTGTAAATGAAAACAAATCACATGGGTCATGTAGTGTTCCACTCTGTAAAAGCCATCAGGAGGCTGATAAAAGCTTTCGTAAATCACTAACTTTATCTGGTACTTGCTCAAAAGAGTCATTTCCCAGATTAAAATGATGTGGCCCTTGCCCTGGGTCTTTGGGAAAACTGTGTAGTAACAACAGGCTCCCAGAAGACTCTGAGGTGTGCTTTACAAACAGTGGCTAAAAAAAAAAAGTTTTGGGGGAGATGCGTATGAATTTTGATTTTTCAACTCCGGTCTTTCCAAATTCCTATGAAGGTGAGACAGCATGAAGGATACAAATGTGTGGTCTGAAGACATGAGCATTTTGAAAAAGCTTTCTTCTTGGCAAACACTGGTATGCCCAGCTAAGTTCAAGTGATAAAGAAAAGTCATTTTTAAAAATGAAGTGTTGAATTCCATGAAACAGCTAAGTGGCTTAATCTCACAGAAAGATAAATTCCCACTTTGTGTGAATTTTTGCATGTTGCAGCCACTTCATCTGATGTCATATGAGCATAGTCTAGACACTAAATGATGTAAAAATCACTCAGAATGTGTTTAATAGTTAAATAAAATTACAAAGTTGAATTAGAGTCTGAGTGGGTGGGGAGCCCTCGGTCATGGGTGAGGTGCAAAGCCTGGGATGCCTGGTCATTGATGCCCGCCACACAATCGATCTATGTTACTGTGTCATGTTCAAATATCGTGTAGGATCAACCACATGGAGCAAGGAAAGGGGACAGCAGCACTATGATTCTTCAGACTGGTCTTATGAAGTATATATTGCCCTAAGTTGCCATTAATAGAAAAACCATCTGATCCTTATTATTAGAACAATGCTGACCTCAGAAAGAAGCAGATAGGAGGAAGCTCAGTGCAATTCTGTGCATTGTTGTGGAACCCTTAGAATTCTCCTGGGCAGGCTTTCTGCCATTCATTCATTCTATAGGAAAAATCCTGAACTACAATTAGGAGTGTGTGATGAAAGTAAATGAAGATAGTTATCTTCGACCATCTTGATTTCCATTTATATTCAAACAATTTAATGATTTGTGAATCAGGAGATCATTTGCCTTCAGACTCTGGTGTAGGACCAACTTCTTGAGATTTCAAAATGGTGAAGTTTGCACAGGCAGGGGAGGAAGATGTGAGCCCCTTTATAAAGTGCCTTCCTTTGTAGCCATTCTCCTGCCATGCTGGATCTGAGTACTCATTTTCAGAAGATGACTCATTGTCAAGATGATACCCAGTTCCCCAGTCTCCACTTGGTTTTGTAATCATTTTACAAGGGAGGTTTGAGACTAGACACTCGCCTCTCTCTGCTGCCTATTGAGCTTCTTTTAGACAGAACCCCACAGATTTCAAACAAGTGCTGAGCATGGAGCAAAGTCAATGAATCAGGACACGATGAGTCTCTGGCCTTCTAAGTGATCCCGAAAGGACACTTTGAAGTCAATTGGCTCACCATGGAAATCAAAAGGAAGTCTGCAGAATGCATATGAAAGTGAGAATTATTTTCTTTAAAGTGAACTTCACTAGCATTCCCCAGTGACTCAAGTGCTGTTAGCAGCCCTGAGGTTTGCTGACACTGCCACAGATTGGTACTATCCATTGGTGAGATAAAAGAGCCCAGTATTACATGAAAATAATGGCAATCCAAATAGACATTTTTCCAAAGAAGACATACAGATGGCCAAAAGGTACATGAAAAGATGCTCAGGAGCATTAATCATCATGGAATGCGAATCAAAACCACAGTGAGATAACACCTTGCACCTGGCAGAATGGCTAGTATCAAAAAGGCAAGAAATAACAAGTGTTGGCGAGGATGTGGAGAAAAGAGAACCTTTGTGCGAATGTAAATTGGTGCAGCCACTATGGGAAACAGTATGGAGTTTTCTCAAAAAATTAAAAATAGAACTACCATATGATCAAGGAAATCTTGCCATTGTGACAATATGAACCTCAAGAGCATTATGCTAAGTGAAATAAGTCAGACAGAGAAAGACAAATACTGTATTATCTCTTATATGTAGAATTTATAACAAAGAAAACAAGGTCATAGATATAGAGAACAGAACAGATTGATGCTTGCCAGAGGCAGGGGTGAGAGGTTGAGAGAAATGGGTGAGCTGAGTTTTTTTGTTTCATTTTAATTTAAATAGTTTAAATAAAAAAAAATAGAGAAATAAATGATAGTGTGGATGCCCAAATTAAATTGCACTGATGGGATATCATTTTAAATATTTAGAGAAGTTACCACATATTCATTAAACCAACAATTTTGTTCAATACTTGAACAAATTTTATACCTGAATTGAACACAACTTTGCATTAGCACCAATGATTTGTATTCACTGCACATGAACAAAAGTGATAAACAACTGAACTTCTGCTATTGAAATTCAAGACACAGGAATCACCAGACATGTTGGGGAAATGCAGATAGTCTGAAAGGCCTAGTTTTACACTGACGGGAAATGAAACCACACACCATCAAGGCTTGGATGTTTTCATGGAAATAAGGAATTAGGGTATAGTGAATATCAGCTTGGAAAATGTTGGCGATGCTGTTGGGGTAGATGAGTGAAACAGCTCCTATGCAGAATTTGCAGAGGGATCTCTTGGGAGGAACAGCAACAAGTAAACACTTGGGGTTTTAATTAAATTATTAACAAACAAGCCTCAGTTTGAAAGTTCATTAATAATAATGCATCTGGGATCCCCAGTGTTGATGTAATCAAGCCCAACTTACTGCTAGGAAGTGGTGGGTCAAGGAGATCACCAGGGATGCATGGCTTCCCCTTTTCCTATTCAGTTACATTATTTTATTGAAACAGAGGCTGTTCTCCAGTGATAGACATTTAGGACATTTGGTGATGGAATGAATACACATCATCATAGCATTGTTGTACTGATACTTGGCATTGAGTTTAACAAAGGTGACTGGATAACAGGTGCTTTTCTTTTCTTTTTTTTTTTTTTTAAGATTTTATTTATTTATTTGAGAGAGAGAATGAGATAGAGAGAGCATGAGAGGGGGGAGGGTCAGAGGGAGAAGCAGACTCCCTGCTGAGCAGAGAGCCCGATGTGGGACTTGATCCCGGGACTCCAGGATCATGACCTGAGCCAAAGGCAGTCGCTTAACCAACTGAGCCACCCAGGCGTCCCAACAGGTGCTTTTCTGATGAGGTGATGGCTTTTACAAATCAAGCTAAATGTGCTGAGGCTGGTTTAGTAACTTTAGAGTTGGCAATAGAAGGACAGTCATTTATAATTCAGTCTTATTTGAATGCTGCTTCTCAAGTTTGTTTTCTTCTTCAAAGTTTATCCTTCTGGAATAATTGCTGACTGTCTTACTTTGAGCTCCATCAGAAGCAGATCTTGAGGCAAGGATAGGAATACACATAGATTATTTGAAAGGCAATCCCAAATAGGGTTGCCAGATTTAGCAAATAAATATGCAGGAACTCAGCTAAACTTGAAGTTCAAATAAACAACAAAAAAATTTTTAGTATAAGTTATGTCCTATGCAATATTTGGGATATACTTACACTAAAAAAATGTTATTTAGAACCATGAAAGACTATGGACTCTGAGAAACAAACTGAGGGTTCTAGAGGGGAGGGGGTGGAGGGATGGGTTAGCCTGGTGATGGGTATTAAAGAGGGCACATACTGAATGGAGCACTGGGTGTTATACGCAAACAATGAATCATGGAACACTGTATCAAAAACTAATGATGTAATGTATGGTGATTAACATAACATAATAAAATAAAATAAATGTTTATATGAAACTCAAGTATAGATGGGCATCCTGCATTTGATTAGGCAACACAATCCCAGGAAGCTAATGGGCGGGGGGTGGGCAAAAGACGAACAAGGAAAGACCAATGCAGGATGCATTAATGAGCAGGTGTGGACAACTGTAGCTTAGTCCCTCTGGGGACTTTGGGAAACTGTATAGAACATACCTTAGAGTTGTCCTATCTGGGCGCAAAGGAACCTGGGCATGTATCCACCATCTTCTTCCATTATTTGTTAAGTGTTGGTCCCGGTGCACAAGTCCTCTCCTGCCCATTCTGTTTGCTATGCAGCCATAGAAAGCCCTTGGCAGAGAGTTGCAAGTACTTGCAGTAGGAAGCCTATGGCAAGTATTAGAACCTTAAGTACCAAGGGATATTCATAAAACCTGAGTTTCTTATTTGGTGACTTTGGGCAAGTCATGGCATCTCTTTGTGTCTAAATCCTCAGCTCTTCATCTTTCTTCCCAAAAAGTTATTGACACCTTCTCTAGGAGAAGCTGCTCACTTTCCCAGCTTGGGGCAGGAGTTTATCTAGTTGGTGTTTATCCTGTTCCCCATGCTAGAACTACTCCAGGATCTTTTAAAAACTCTGCTTCTATGAAATGCCCACTATCCTGTTTTCAGTTTGTTAGTGAGCCTAACACATGGTTCAGAGTCTTCCATCATTCCTCATATTCTAACATCCTCCTATGCAACTCCCACACCTGCATGGATGCTCTCTTGTCACCCAGGGCTTCTCCTCCAGAGACCTTTAACTTTACTTCACTTCAGCCATCTGT